TTTTGGTCCCGGGGATGGAACTTGGGTCCTTGTGCTTGCAAGGCAGGTAGAACCACTGAGCTAAATCCCTGGACCTAAAAAAGCTTTTGGTTTTTACTTCCTGTGATGAACATTTTTTTTTCCTTAGAGGTTACTACTCATTTTGAAGGCAAGACATAGTTTTTTCTTTTTTCTTTTTTTGCTTCAGGCTAATATAGTATTTCATGTACTTCAATAGCAGTATTCCAAGACTTTTGTGCACACAGAGACTCTGATTTAACAAGCCATGCACCAGGGATGGAAATTCTGATTCAAATGCAATTGCTAAAAGGAGACCATCCTCCATTATTCAAGTTCTTTGCTTAGATGAATTACTGACTCATCCTTTGTGTAAACAGTCAAAGCAATCTCTGTGGTTGGTCTCATGCAAATAGAAAATACTATAAGAAACTTATTAACCTAAATAAAAATTATTGATGACATTGCCTAGGTTTAGAGGGAGCACAGACCAGTCTCAGTTTATTTCATGAACAGTGCTGAATAGTTGGATAATTATATTTCTCTTGTCTTCTTATTTATTAGCCATGGTGGTGTTTGTGCCATTGCTAATATTTCTTGCTCTACTCGGATTAATGAAACCAGCAAGGCAGAACAGGCTATATAACATCTAACAGAAACAGCTGATTAACTCTCTAAGATTGATCCTAATGGGCTATGGGACTTATTTTCTTGGCCTGGATTTGACCATTGGGGAACCTATTTCTGAAAGATTCTACAAGGACTATTGTTATTGTTAATATCATGGCAGTTGTGATACTGGTTCACTGCATTTATTTAAAACCTTAAATACTTCCGTGCAGCTTTTTCTTTTCTCAGGTGATCATGATGATGACATAGCAGAAAGGTGAAGAAGATCTTGCAATATAGTTTATTATGGACATAAGTGGAGAATCCTTAAGTGGTGGAGGTATGGATTTCTAACCTTTCCTGAATTTCAAGTGAGAGAATGACTCAAAGAAGGGGGCGGCTGAGGGACTGAATATTCAAATGGACAGTGGCCAGACTATAAATGACAATAGAACTTGAATAACAGTGTCTGCAGCTGTCAATCCAGAATGCTTAGGACTTGGTCATGCTGGAAAGCTTCTCTATTTTTTCCCTTTAGCACCTGCCAGAATGCCAATATATGACTTATATCCTCATTTATGTAGCTTTATATTTTAAAAGTCAGAGAATACAAAACATACTATTATTCTCACAGTGGTATTCAAACTGGGTCTCACCAAAATAAAAATAAAGTAATTTAGTAAAATTATATATAGACACAAAGTTGTAGAAACAATTGAAGATCTTTCATATGAGAATGGAGACTAATTTATTCAGAGATTGATATAACAAGGGCTCCAGCCAGCATCACTTGCATTTGGAAGAGACTCAAAGAAAGGCAGGGGTCAGGGATGTAGCTCAGGGGTAGAGTGCTTGTTTAGCAAGCTGGAGGCCCTCTGGGTTTGATCTGTAGAATATAGAAAGAGAAGCAGGAAGGCAGGGGAGTAGAAAGACTTGATAATGAAATAGAAGTCTCCAGGAATTTTCTTAGATATTTCTTTGGGTATGGGGAAGCTGGAAATTGATAACAAGCAGCAGGAGATCAAATATTTGAAGCATACATTTTGAATGCTTTCACATAAGCACAATTAAGATAATAAATATTCTTTAAAGTTTCCTTCATCTTTTAAATCTGTCTTTTCTACCCACTTCTTGCTCCTTTTACATTCTCCAGCAACTATTCATTTGCTGTCACTCTACATTAGGGTTCATTTTGCAGAGTTTTATATAAATGAAACCACACAGCATGTATTCTGTTTTTTATTTTTATTTTTTCACTTAGTTATTTTGAGGTTCATCCATGCAGCTGTATCAATAGTTTATCAATTTTTGTTACTGAATAGTGTTATTTTGCATGGATATACAACAACATATTTTTTCCATTCATCTGTTATTGAATATTTGGAATGGGTAATAGTATTTGAGTACTATAAATAAAACTGTTATAGATATGAATGAGTAAGCCTTTGTAAAACATATATTTTCTTACCTATTCAGTAAAGATGTAGGAGTGGAATATAGTAGTAGTATATTGTGATATTTTCCAGAGTTATGAACATATTCCATTCCTACCATTACTGTATAAGAGGTCAAGTTTCTTCTTTAATTCTGAGATCTTGAATTTTTTATTTTCTTGCCTCGGTCTCTCAAGTAGCTAGAATTACGGCTACAGCAGAGCATTCATGATCTACAACAAATTACATAGTAAAGATTTTACCTCTTTATACTGTCATTATTATTTCAGTGGTGGTTTTAAAGTTTATAATGTACACCTTATTAGGTAATAAGAAAAATAATTTTATATGTACCTCAATTACATTTTCAGTGCTCTTCATTATTTTATGAAGATCTAAATTTCCACCTGGAATAATTTTCCTTCTACTTTCTTTAACATTTCACATAGTATCTACTGCTAATAAATTGTATCAGTATCTATATTTGTGAAAATATCTTTACTTAATCTTATTTTTAAAAGACTTTTGCCAGAAATTGACTTCTAAATTGAAAGTTTTTTTCTTTCAATGAATTTTAAACTGCTATTCTTTCTTGCTGTGTTTCTAATGAGAAACTGATTTTATCCTTATTTTTGTTCTTCTGTATATAACACACATTTTTCCCCCTCTGCCTGCTTTTAGGATTTTTTTATTTATCGGTGGTTCTGAGATATTTGATTATGATGTAACTCAACATAGTTTTCTTCATATTTCTGGTGCATCTATCATATTCCACTGAGCTTTTGAAGATGAAAGATGAAATCTGTGGGCTCAGATGCTAAAAGGAGTGAGGTAGTGGTGGGAGCTTATGGAAGTTCTCTTCTGATTAATTCAATGTTAGCAATGAAATAGGAACCAAGGCTGTTAGTTGAGACTGAGGAAGAAGAGATCTTGATTGTGAGAGAAATTAGAAACCTATCAAGGAGAGTGGAAGAATCAATGAAGAAGGACCTATAATAAGATGTTCAAAAATCTTTAAAAGGCCACTTAAAATTTGTGATCATGAATTTAAAGTCAGTATTGGTAAGCGTTTTTCTTCTACCAGGTTCAGCTCCAAAAGCACAAGAACTTAGTAAGTGGAAAGTTGATGTGGCTAGTGTTGGCAATTGCCAATTGATTATAGCAATTCAGAGAGGGTCAGAGAGTTAAGGATATTAGCAAGGAGATGATTTCATTGATTAACCACTAAGTATCTACATGAAACTTTCTCAATCGGAGTGGATACCATTAGAAGGCAGTTCCTTGCATCTAGAAGGAACTAGAACTAGAAAGAATATATATTTGTTGATACATGTGTAGATGTTTCTAAACAGTAGAAAGCCAGGGCCTTGAATAAATTGTGTTATTGGAGCACATTAATCTTGGTTTTGAGTGCAGTGTTGTGTAGTCTTTAACATTATCTATAATAATCTGCCTATCCCGGTTCAAACCTATCAGGGCAGCCTCTCCCTACACAACTACTGCATTCTCTCAACAGCCCACACACAACTCCTTTCTGTTCCTTGCATTTGCCACGTGTTACACATGGGCTTTCCTCCACAGAAATGCTTTTTCCTTTGCAAGAATACTCATCCTTGCACCTCAGCTTTCCTGAGAAATGCAAACATTTCTGTAGTGACAAGCAGTATGGTTCTTTCTTAGCACACATCATCATTGAAGTATTACATCATTTAAGTATTGACAGCTTTCTGCTATTATGTTGCAAGCTTCCTGACAGCAAGAACCTTGCTTGTTTTGGTTCCCACTGAAACTAGCATAGTCTCTGGCGCATAGGTAGATAGATGGTAATAAACATTCTAAAATAAATAAATAAATAGAGGTGAAAACAATGATGTGGTGATATGTGAAGCCTGGTGGGGGGAGCAACACTTTTCATTTGGAGAATTCTCGAGTCATTGGCTGATGCTACAGGCCTACCTAGCAATACTTTGCTCCGAAAACTAGAGTTTCCCAGGTAAATGCAAAATCACAGATCCTCAGTCCCGGAGCCCAAACCAGTCTTTGGGAGGCGCCTGCTCACTGAGCTCGCAGGAAATACGCAAGGCGTGGGGGCGGGGCTTTGGTAACTCGGCAACAGACCGGAAGCCGTAGACTGCGTTAACCTGTGGCGGGCTTCCCGGTTCTGGACAGGAGATTTTAGTCCCAGTGGAGGCAGCAGCCGGAAATCTGCAAAGCAGGTTAAAATACGCAGCAGAGGTCTGCAGCCCCGGGGCTCGCAGAGGTATAGAGACCAGGGTTACTTTCAGCGCGAGGAGAAGGGAGATAGCCAGGTCAGGAATCCTTCCTAGTAAAGGCCTCAGGGCGGCCGTGTGTTTCCAGAGAAGGTGTGCACATCAGGGTATTTGTCTAGCGCGCTCTTTGCCGGAGCACCTTATCGTGCACTTGTACGCCGCTCGCTGTTGCTTTTGCACGGAGCCAGAATCTGGAGTGCTGGATTCTCCCCTTTAAAGCATTCAGTCTTCAGCAGGAGACAATCCACCCAGCGCACTTTGGGATAGGGTTGATCATTTAAATGAACGTCAGGAAGGCCTTAAGAAGGAGGCCTCTGAATGAGTTGTGAAGAGCTGTGGATTAAAGCCGTAGAAAAGTGAGTGAAAGTCGGAAGAGGGAAAAAGATATTTGGACTTATGTATGAGGGCGAGAGCCTGGTCTTGTGATGTGTAAGAGACGTGAGAAAAGACTGGGAAGATCAGTCGGTCCATGAGGTTGAGGCAAACTCTGAAGTTGGTTTCTTCTCTACAGTGGGACAACATTAAAATCTTTTGAGGAAGGAAGTTAAAGCTTGAGATCTGTACTTATCGAGACCTATATCTGGGAGGATTGAAGGGACAGTGTTTGGAAAGAGCCTTTGTTTATTTTGATTAGTTTCTAAAACCCTATAGTCACAGAAGTCATTTTCTGTGCTCTACCCACTCCATAATCTGGTAGACTGATGGACTCTATGTCTCTGTGAATTTGCCTATTCTGGACATATAGAAATGGCATCATGCAGTCTGTGGCCTTTTCTGTTTAGCTTTTATCAGAGTAATATTTTCAAAATTCATCTGTGTTGTACCAAGTATCAGTACTTCATATATTATTATCATCAAATAATATCCCATTGTATGGGTATATTATTTATACATTCTTCAGTTGATAGACATTTTGGGTATTTCCACTTTTTGTCTATTAAAAGTAATATTGCTATGAACAGTCATACGCAAGTTTTTGTATGGACTTACGTTTAAATTCTTTTGGAATATACCTAGAAGTGGAATTGCTAGGTCGTGTGGTTAATTCTTTTTAAGGTCTCTGAGGAACTGTAGAACTGTTTTTCCAGAGTGCCTATAGCCTCTCCCATTTCCCTCAGCAACTGTATGAGGATTGCAATAGCTCCACATTCTTGTCAATGCTTGATATTGCCTGTCTCTTGTTACAGCTGTCCTGATGGGTTTGAGGTGGTATCTCAGTGTGGTTTTGATTGGTACTTCCCTAATTATGTTGGGCATCTTTTCACGTGCTTATTGGCTATCTATAGTATATTCAAACATTTTTAGTTTTTATTTTTCATTATTTATTTAGCTTAGTTTACTTGAGACCTCACTGTGTAGTTCAGGCTGTCTGAATTTTCTGTGTAGCCCAGGTTGGCCTATTACTTGCTCTCCTCCTGACTTTGCCTCCCAGTGCTGGATAACAGGTACATGCCACCATGCCAGGCCATATGCCCATTTTTAAATTGGATGTTTTTATAACTGAGTTGTAAGAATTCTGCATATATTCTAGATATGAAGCCTTTATCAAATATATGATTTACAAATTATCTCCCATTCTGTTGGTTGTGTTTTCATTTTCTTAATTGTTCCTTTGAACATAAATTAAAAAAAATTTTTTTTCTTTTTGGTACCAGGGATTGAACTCAGGACCCTGTTCTTGCAAGGTAGGTAGCAGAACCACTGAGCTAAATCTCTGGTCTTGAATATAAAATTTTAAAAATTGTGTGAACCTCAATTTATTTTTTTTTCTTTGGTCATTTGTACTTTTAGTGCCATTATCTAAGAAACCATTACTTAACCTAAGGTTCATAAAGTTTTTTTTTCATTAAGTTTATTGGTACTTTTTAGGTATATAGTACAGTTACATTCATCATTGGGATCTTGTACATTTACATGATGTATCTTGATTCTTATTTTTTCCCCCATTCCCCTGCCCTCCCTTCCCCGCCTTCCTAATTTACAAAGACTTTGTTTCCATTTTTTCCTTTTTTCATATTTTTTCTTTTCCCTTCTTTCCCTTCACCTACCTTTCCCACTTTCCCTATTCCTTTAGACCTTTTCTTCCTATTTCATATATTCAATTATACAATTTAAATAAGGTTCATAAATACTTATGTTTTCTTCTAACAGTTTATTATAGTTTTAGCTCTTAAACTTAATTATGACTCATTTTAAGCCAATTTTTGTATATGATATAACGTAGGAGTCCAACTTGTTTCTTTTTCATATGAATATCCAATTCTCCCAGCACCATTTATAGAAAAGACAGTCCTTTTTCCATTAAATTGTTTTGACACCCTCATTGGAAAATAAACTGACAAATAAATGGTGTGTTTTGGACTCTTATTTCCATTCTATTCCATATCCTTTAAAATGGTATTTTTGTCTAACATTAACTGTGTGAGCTTCACATTGTTTAATTCTTTGCCCTTTAGTTTTCTCGTTTCTAAGATCAGTGGTAAGTAGTATTTCATGGAGTTACTGTATTGCATATTCTCTACTAATTGTGAATTTGTGTGGCTGATGACAAAGACCATGACTACTATCCTAGTTCTCTGCTAAATTGCTGCTTTCCTAGAGTTCTTTATTAAGCAAATAAATTTATTCACTTGGAACTTCATTGTATGCATTTGTATCAATTTCCTATTGTAAAATAAAAGAATCAAGTATTTTTATAGCCTGTTTCTTTCATGGTACTTACATTTTTCTTCTGATGTTTTAAGTTATTTTGCTTTTCCTATATATCCTTTCCCTCTCTGGTAATGCATAATTATTACTTTTTGCATTTAAAAATTTTGGTGTCATTCCTAGATGTCTTTGGTCAGAGTGAACCGTTACTCTCCTCGAGGAGGTGCAAAAAAAGCACTGAAAGTGAAGAAGAAGAAAACTACAGTGAAGCAAGAATGGGATGTAAGTGCATGTGGTAAGATGGTAAACTGTATGACATTAGTCTGGAGACTAGGTGTAATGATACGGCCCTTGTCACTCAGATGGTGTTCTTTTTTTTTTTTTTTTTTTTTTTTTTTTTTTGGTACTGGGGATTGAACTTGGGTCCTTGCACTTACAAGGCAGGCCACCAAACCGCTGAGCTAAATCCCCAGGCCCTCAGATGGTGCTCTGAATGGGGCTTAGAATACCATGAATAAAGTAATAAAGTAGAATGAGTTCTGGGCCTTAGTCTTGGGGAAAAGAGCAGACTTCTTGGGGAGCTTTTAAGAATATGCCTACCTAGGCTATAACTTCCAGCTCCTTTGAAAAAAATTAAAATCTTAATTGGTTGTGGAGTGTGTTTTTTAAGAGTCCTTTCACCTCTTCTTTGTTTGAAATGTTTGCTTTAAAGCAACACTAGTTAGCCTGTCACTGAGGTCTGTGAACATTTTTTTGATACCTGTCTTAGATTTATCCTTAGTATCCAGTGATATCATAATTTTGTGGTCAGCATTTTTGACTAAAAAGGTGGGTAATCTTTGTTCTCTTTTGACTTATTTGTTGCTTACCTCTCCAGAGACTGATGAATTCCAGTATAAGAATCTCTTAATGGAAACAAAGCTTTTGTACATAGGGAGGGGAGGGGAGGGGACTTGAGGGGGGGAATTGGATAAAATAAAAATATTAAAAAAAAGAATCTCTTAAAATATAAAACAAATCTCAGATATAAAACAAGTCTCTTTGGACCATGTGATGCCTGGCTTCTAAACTGAGCGTCTCCTCCAATTGCCAGGGAGATAAGGACTGGCTTAGATCCTAGGAATTTTTGGCAGCTTGGAACTTTCAAGGTGGTGGCCAACCACCTTTGTCAAACATCTTCAGTAAACTGACAACTTCTGGAAGTGGGGTAAAGGGACTTCTCTGTTTAGGTTGTTTTGTTGACATTTGATTGGAGATGGTAATGTAGCATTGTCCCTCTCATAGAGGTTAGCTTGGGAAGTTCAGTATTTATTTCAGTATTTAGCTGTTGCTCAAAATTAAATGGAAGCCGATCATTCATTTGAAATTGCACCAGAAATCTTCTTCATTTGCTTTTTATTATCTCCAGAACTGGAAAAATCTGACCTTTGAAGGTAGCCTGAAATTGGAAAATAGTCATAAGTCACTTGGCATGAAGAGTAAATGATTGAAGAGAGGTCTGCTTCATACTGTTTTGGTAACAGTAGTGAGCCTCTTTCTGAAATGACTTGTATATTACATTTAAAGGCAACTTCAGAGTAAAATAGTTTAAAGCAATAGTAGTATTGATGGAATTGTATTTTTTCCATGAAAGCTAATTCCCAAAATATCACTTTTTTATATGCCTGAATTTTATTAACATTACTACAAACAGTTCTCATGGGATTATAGTTGTACTTTGTACCTTTGTAAACCATCTGTAAAGAATAACAGTTTTTATATAGGAAAGCTTTGACCTAAGTATAAATCATGGGCAAAAAGTTTAGCCATTGCATGTGTCAGAAACTATCGTGACTCAGTCTTGTTTGTATTTCTTATCACTTAGGAGTGAAACTCTTAACTTCTTTTGTTTCCTGCCTTTCCACATCTGTGTAGCAAAATGGCTGAGGTCATTTTGGAAAGTGCCAAGTTTCAGGACTGTTTGTTAGAGCTTGTATGCTGGGCACCACATAAATCCAGGGATGCTATTTATACGGATTAGAATACTACAGGTACCTCCTGGAGTTGTGCAGCATGGTAGCTTTGCTGTGTTGGTTGCTGTTTTTTTGCATAAGTAACTTTCTCACCTTTTATGAAATTAGGCAGAGCCTACATACTTAACTACTTAACAGTTTACCCCAAGAGTCACTTGAGCAGCATGTTTGTTTATGTACTGACTATTCCAAGTGTCTCTCAGCAGGTGTCATTTCAACCAGTTTTTTTCTTATATTTGATAAAATTGTCGTTTTTAATATTTTCTGTTATAGTAGCTTATTAATGAAAAAAATAGCAATTTTTGGTTATCTTGTGTTTAAGTAATTGAGCTGGTGAGTGGTTAACCTCAGATTATAATAGGTTCTCTGGCACAGATGTTTGTGTACATAAATTGAACCTTTTTATAGTGATCATACTTCCTATTAGAAATCTTTGTAAGAATCCTGGGATTCCATGGAATACAGTTTGAAAATTGCAATTTTAGTTTAACGTACTCATTTAAATACATACTACTAAAGAAAAAGAAATAAATACTACTTTTTTAAATCCCTTGTCTTAATACAGCTGAGTGCTTATTTTCTGTAAGACAACTAAAAGTGTTATTTTCTGCAGGATACCTAACGGTAATCTGTGTTAATATTTATATGGAGAATACTGTTTCCTGGGAAGAGTTTTTGGTCTTAAGGTTTTTAATCAATTTTCAGCTTTATACTCCAGTAAATGCTAATGTTTTATAAGAAAAAAATTTTTTCTTAAGTAAAGGTCATCTTTCCTTACAGAATACTGTGAATGATCTGACAGTTCATCGGGCAACTCCTGAGGATCTGGTAAGTTTAATACTGAAAGTTAAGTTTTATTTGGTATTTGATTTCAAAACTTCAGAATAGAAGCTGTAATCATTCCTGGGAGTTACTCAGTTATGTCTTTTCCTCTGTGAAGTTTTCTGCTATTACCTCTGTGAACAGTTTTTTTAATGTCAGTTGTACTTTCTCCTGCTTTTTTGTGGACTCCTATCAATCTTGTGTTACTCTTCTTTGCATCCTGTAGCAGCTGCTGGAACTATTTCTCATGGTTCCTTATTTTTAAGAAATCTGTCTTTTCATGGTCACCAACTGCAAACCCATCTTCTGTACCTAATATTCTATCTTCACATTGGTTTAATTTGCTGTGAATACTTTCAGTGGAGTTTTTAATCTCCTGGTTATCTGTTTGAATCTGTTTTATGGATTCCATTTCTTAGGTTTGGTGTTCATGGTTTCCATTTCTTTCCTATGCTGGGCGTTCAGGGCTTATATTGTGGTCCTGAGGCTCATCTATTTTTTAAAATCTGTTTCTGTTCTAGAGTCTCTAATATGTCTTTTATTCTGCTCACCATCTCTGTTGTTATCTGGGAAATTATTTCTGTTTTGAATTTTTCTAGAGACTTGTTCATCTGTTTGGTTACTTCCCATGCTATCAGTTCAGGGTGGCCAGGTCCTTGATTATCAGATCTTTCTACCCTGCTTCTGCCAGAATTTGCACGTGGTGAGCTGGAAGTCTGGGTTTGCGCCTTGTTTTGGTGTCTTCTCATTTCTTTCTTTATTTTTTAAGTTATTTTTTATTTTTTTGGTACCAGGTAATCAAACTCTGGCCCTTGCACTTGTGAGGCAGGTGATAGCATCCCTGAGCTAAATCCTGGTCCTGATGTCTTCTCATTTCTAATTTTGTTGTTGGTGCTCTTTTTGGATTAATTCCTGGGCTAATACTTCAATATTGCTTATTGTGAGTATCTTTATTGCTTGTATTTAGAGCCCTTATGGAGTGATTGCTTCTCAGAGGTATCTTCCAGGTGTAAATGTTCTTTTTAGCCTTTGAGTCTCTAATGACTGTTAGGCAATCTCATTTTCAGTACACCAGGAAAGACAACTGATTAGATCAATGATGACACCTTAGCCCAATTGATACAGTCATCATCAACAGTTGCATCAAACACAACTTGGAAAATGATAGTTTTTGGTAGCAGCTAATCTGTGACCTTTGACTATGTGAGCTAGATCAAAATTGAGGGCCAGCCCAAAATATGTTTGTATTAGATAAACCCTTCAATATAATAAATTTACCCTTCAGGATGAGGATTTAGAAAGGGTTGGGAGGGAGGGATGGAGAGATGAAAGGGAAAGGTTAGAAGTGGGGCTAGAGCACATAGGAAAATCACACAAACTTTGGCAAACTGTTCAAGACAAGACTTGGAAAAGACAGAGCAAAAGAACAAAGACAAGAACAGAACAAACTAACAGCAATAGGGAAGCTAGAAACTGTATTCACCTTCATATAAGAATAGTGACAGTCGAGAGAAGGAAAAAGAGAAAAACAGTTCGAAATGGGACAAGAACAAGAACAAAAAGAGAGGGGATAAAAAGAAAAGAAAAGTAAATATATATAAAAAATTGGCCTCCCTCAAGGTATGTCTCCACTGTCCTGTAGACAATGTGGGCAGCACTTTGCAGATCTAAGTTGATTAGTCTCAGTAAGCCAGCTGTAGTCTACTGAGATTCAGGCTGATTTCTGGCTGCAAGGCCCAAGTTGAGGTCCCTGACCTCCTGCAGGACTGAGCTTCGCAAGGTTCTACTGCAGGTTCCAGCTGTCCTTCCCCCTAAGCGGGTCCAGGTTTCTGTGGGAGGTGCTGATTCCACCACCTTACCAGCCACAGTGGTCCAGTGTTCCTTTATTGCAGATTTTCTTCATTTTACCAGTGGGTTTCAATTTTCATTTCAGAGAGGCCCTCTCTGTTGTTCACTTCTGCTGTGTCTTCTGGGGCTCATAACCATGGCGTTTAAGGCCCCCTGGTGCTTCTGCAGTGTGGATTCAGATACCATGTTGCCCATGTTTTGTGCTTCAGCTCTGGCTATGCTGCTTCTGGGGTCCAGTGGAGCTGCTGCTTTCCTTCAGTATTAATTTGCTATTACTTTGTTTTGCAAAAGTATTGGTGTAGTCAGTGTAGTAATTTATCCCTTGACTATATCATGAATATTTCTAAATCAGAGCCACAATTTGTGCTATTTCCCTACCTTCTCTACCCATCCAAGTCTTACTGTGGTTTTTTTATCCTAATTCAGCTTCTATTTTTAAAAAAGTTTCTACTGTAGATTTTTTCCTTTTAAATATTATTTTAAATTTACATAGCATTTCTACTTATAGGATACCCTGTGATGTTTTGTTATACATTTGTATTATATAATATTCCAATTAGGGTCAACATATATTTCTTTAAACATTTATTTGTGGTGGAAACATCCAAAATCCTTTCTTTTAGATGTTTTTTTGAAATATACAGTATCCTACTATGCAATAGAATATAGGGTTTTAAAAATGGCTTTATATATAATTCACATACCATAAAATTTGTTATTAGTATGTGCGGAGTGTGCAACCATCACTATTGTCCAATTTTACAATGTTTTCATCACCCCAGAAAGAAACCTATACCCATTAACAGTCACTCTCTATGCCTACTCCTCCCCGTCTGTGGAAGTGTCCTACTTTCTGTCTCTGCGGGTTTGCCTCTCCTAGATTTTGCTTATAAATGTAATCCATTATGTGTCCCTTTGTGTCCAGCATCCTTTTCTTGGCATAATGTTTTCACGTATAGTATAGCTTATATGTGAACTCCATTCCTTATTGTTGCTGGATAATAGTCCATTGTGTGAATATCATGTTTTATTTTTTGATTCATTAGTTGGAGGACATTTGAATTGTCCTTATTTTTGGATTGTTATAAGTAATCCTGCTGTGAACATTCATGTACAGTTTTTGTGTGAACATATGCTGTCACTTTTTTTGTGTATATACTAGGAGCAGAACTGCTGGGTCCTATAACATCTCCATATTTGACTTTTGAGGTGACTGCTGAACTTTTCAAGTGGCTGCTTTATTGACATCACAGCAGCATGTGTGAGACTTCCAGCTTCTCCACATTTGGATTATTGTTCTTTTTTATTTTATTTCTTCCTGTTGATATAAGGTGCTATTTCACTGTGGTTTTCATTTGCAATTTTTTTTTTTTTTTGAGACAAAGTCTTGCTATGTAGTTCAGCCTGGCCTTGAACTCACTATGAGCTGAGGTTGGCCTTGAGCAGAGATCCTCCTGCCTCAGCCTCATAAGTGCTGGGATTATAGGAATGTGCCGCCACAACCAACTCAAATTTTTTTCTATTTTTCTCAAAAAATATCATTTCATTTTTCTTACATGAATTAGAATATTCAAATAATATTTGATTGTTAATCTTCTAATGGATGGATTTCTTATTCACATGATAAAAACTCAGTAGGATATTTATCAGAGTAAGTGAGTTTTGTTTTTACTTAGTTCTGAATACTAAAGTACTATCTGTAAAGTCAGATATCTTCTTTTCTTCCTTAGCCACCCCAATACATTCTTTCTTTGTAACTCTTCTTCTCTTTGGTACTGGGGATTGAACCCAGGACCTCCACATTGAGCTACATCACTATTCCTCTTTCTTAAAAAAATTTTTGACATAGTCTTGCGAAATTTCCTGGGCTGGGCTAAAATTTGGGATCTTCCTGCCTCAGCATCCCAGTATCATGGAATTGTAGACATGTACCACCACCACACCGGGCTTCTTTCTTCCTTAAGACCTGTGGTTCATTTCTCTTTGTCCTACAAACTCCACTTCCCTGGATTTCTGCAACTTTTGTGGCTCACTTCCACATGAAACCATGGCAAGGCTATAAAAACAACACTACACAATTAATTCTTGATAGTGATGTGATTATCATGAAACTGATGTGTCTTTGCCAAAGACAAGTGGATTTTGTGTCTTTTACAGTGTGTGTGCTCAGTGTGTGTGTGTGTGTGTGTGTGTGTGTGTGTGTGTAAAAATGTCAATTTTGACCCACAAATTAAACTGACCATTAATTTTGACCATCAATTAAATTGAGATCTAACTTTTGCTTTGAAAAACACTAGTTTATTGGGTAGTGTTGGAGAGAAGGAAATTGAAATTAATATTATTTCTAGTTTGTCTTTTAGTTAGATTTACTAGTTCTAGATACTTTTTTTTTTAAGATCACTTTTGAAAATTTAGAGGACTATGAAAAATTTGGCTGTATATATATATATATATATATACGTATATACATATATATACGTATATATATATATATACGTATATATATGTATATACGTATATATATATATATATATATACAGACAAATTTTTCATAGTCCTCTAAATTTTCAAAAGTGATCTTAAAAAAAAAAGTATCTAGAACTAGTAAATCTAACTAAAAGACAAACTAGAAATAATATTAATTTCAATTTCCTTCTCTCCAACACTACCCAATAAACTAGTGTTTTTCAAAGCAAAAGTTAGATCTCAATTTAATTGATGGTCAAAATTAATGGTCAGTTTAATTTGTGGGTCAAAATTGACATTTTTACACACACACACACACACACACACACACACACACACTGAGCACACACACTGTAAAAGACACAAAATCCACTTGTCTTTGGCAAAGACACATCAGTTTCATGATAATCACATCACTATCAAGAATTAATTGTGTAGTGTTGTTTTTATAGCCTTGCCATGGTTTCATGTGGAAGTGAGCCACAAAAGTTGCAGAAATCCAGGGAAGTGGAGTTTGTAGGACAAAGAGAAATGAACCACAGGTCTTAAGGAAGAAAGAAGCCCGGTGTGGTGGTGGTACATGTCTACAATTCCATGATACTGGGATGCTGAGGCAGGAAGATCCCAAATTTTAGCCCAGCCCAGGAAATTTCGCAAGACTATGTCAAAAATTTTTTTAAGAAAGAGGAATAGTGATGTAGCTCAATGTGGAGGTCCTGGGTTCAATCCCCAGTACCAAAGAGAAGAAGAGTTACAAAGAAAGAATGTATTGGGGTGGCTAAGGAAGAAAAGAAGATATCTGACTTTACAGATAGTACTTTAGTATTCAGAACTAAGTAAAAACAAAACTCACTTACTCTGATAAATATCCTACTGAGTTTTTATCATGTGAATAAGAAATCCATCCATTAGAAGATTAACAATCAAATATTATTTGAATATTCTAATTCATGTAAGAAAAATGAAATGATATTTTTTGAGAAAAATAGAAAAAAATTTGAG